TTTCTTTCTCGCCTTCTTTCCTTCTCTCCTTCTTACCCTTTCCCTCATTTCCTTCCCTCTTTCCCTCCTTCTTTCCTTCTCTTTTTTCCTTCCTTCCTCTCTTCGTTCCTTCCTGCACAGAACTGTGCATTCCCCCCCCAGCTAGCAATCCAAAACAGTCCAGTGGCACCTTTAAGGCCAAGGTTTATTCAGGTACAAGCTCTCCCTCCTCTGCTAGGGCAGATCTGCTCAACCCCCCCCCCAACAGCTAGCAATCCAAAACAGTCCCGTGGAGCCTGAGCAGTGGGTGTTGCCTTCTGACACACTTCCGGGGATGTCAGGGGGTGTGGCATATGCAAATAAGTTATGCTAATGTGTTATGCTAATGAGCTCCTGCACCTCTTTTTCTACGAAATGACCCCTGCCTATAGATCACTTTGGGGAGGGGAGGGACCTCAGCATGAGACAGGACCATAGCGTCTAGCCCAGGGGTGGCCAAACTTGCTTAACGTAAGAGCCACATAGAATAAACGTCAGACGTTTGAGAGCCATAATACATGAACAGATATCACACACACATTTTTATTGAAAAATAGGCAAATTTGCCTTTTCTTCACATTCAATAAGACTTTCATAGATAAAAACAAAAGGCGTAAAAACAGATATTGATCGTGATCTTTATTTATCCAATAATATTTGTAGGCCGGGGGGGGGACCCTTTGAGATCGCATTTAAAATCAAAAGTTGCTTTCTTTCTTTGTCCCCCCCCCACCTCAAGCCAACACCTGGGGAGGGGAACACTGGCTGGGGAAGGGGAGACCAACTGGGGAGGGGAGGCATGACTCCCCTTTGATTCCCCAGCCACCCTGCTGGGAGCTGCACAATATGTGTGAAAGAGCCGCATGAGGCGCCTCGCGAGCCGCAGTTTGGCCACCCCTGGTCTAGCCCCCAAAGCAGCCATTTTCTCCAGGGGAACTGGTCTCTATAGTCTGGAGTTCAGGTATAAAAGCAGGAGATCCCCAGGCCTCGCCTGGAGGCTGGCAACCCTAGAGCTGGCAGGGGCGATACAGGCCATCTAGTCCAACCCCCTGCTCAGTGCAGGACCAGCCTAGAGCATCCCTGACAAGTCCTTGTCTAGCCACTGCTTGAAGACTGCCAGTGAGGGGGAGCTCACCACCTCCCTAGGTGGCCGTTCCATCCTTCCACAACCCTTCCCAATAAAATGTTTTCCCTCATACCCAGCCGGTCTCAGAGTTCTCTGACAGGCGCACGTTATAGAGTGCAGAGCACTGTACTCTGGTGGCGGGAGAGGCACAGAGAGGGCCCTTCGGCACCCACGAGGGGAACACGTAGCATTGATACTCAAGCTGCAATGCATAGCAGAGGTCCAGAGGCACCCTGAAGAGTGACCCCACCTATTGCCGCCCCCACCCCCACCACACACTCTGCAAACTGCTGGGTGGAACTTGTGTGGGGAACAGGCTAGTGGTCCTCTTAAGGGTGTGCGTGGCTGCTTTAGCATGGGGGGGGCAGTCTCTGGGTCCCACAGTCCCCCATAGCCCTGCAGCTTGACGGTGCAGGAGCTGGACATACAAGGAAGCTGTTGCCGTGGAAGCAGCACAGGGGGTTTATTTAGGGGTAAGTAACCCTGCCAAAATGATGGGTCGCCGGGGTCCCGTTCCCCCTTTTGCAGTTTACAGGGGCAAAACATCAGCACTGAGGTTCTGGCCTGCCTCTCGCCTCTCCCCGCATGGGGACTGACCCAGGAGCCCCAGCCGGGCTACCCCAGGGCCCTTCCACTGAGCCACGCCTGTCCGTGCAACCGTCTCTGTCTGGCTCCATGTGTCTGGTGGGGATGTCACAGCGGCTGTAGAGTCCCTCAGTGCCTACTGGCACACCTCCCATGAACCCAGAGGTCATTTCGGGGTGGAACGCGGGGGAATGCAGTTCCCCCGGGTGAGGTGCAGGGGGCGGGGCACATGACGAAGCCCCACCCCTTGCTTCCGGCCGCCCCGCTTCCGGCCCTCATTCAGCCAGGAGGAGGCAGGAGAAGAGGGAGGATAAGTTGCTTCCTCCCCGCCTCTCCCCACCCCTGCCTGCCTGGGGCCAGGGAGGGCCTTGGCGGGGCTTCCTCGCACTCCCGCTGGCCTTGCAGGTACACCGCCGGGCCCCTGATGTCATGGGGTGTGGCATATGCTAATGAGTTATGCTAATGAGTTCCCCTAGCTCTTTTTGTATGAAATGACCCCTGCATGAACCTACATAAGAACATAAGAGAAGCCAATGCTGGACCAGGCCAATGGCCCATCTGGTCCAACACTCTGTCACACAGTGGCCAAAAACACCAGGTGCCATCAGGAGGTCCAGAAGTGGGGCCAGGATACTAGGACCCCCTCCCCCTGTTGCCCCCCCGGCACCAAGAACACAGAGCCTCACTTGCCCCAGCCTGAGAGTTCCTATCTATACCTTGTGGCTAATAGCCACGGATGGACTTCTACTCCATATGCCTACCTACCTTCAGTGTAAGGATGCCAGGTCCCCCCCCCGGCCACCCCCCCGGCCACTAGAGGGGGACGGGGAGTAGGGGTTCCGGGTCCAAAAGCTCCTGGCGATCTGGAGGTGGAGTCTGGGGAGGGACCTCAGTAGGCTACAATCTGTGGTGTGATGGAGCCGGC